TAGTAGTAGGAAATGGCATCACATTTTTATTGTTTCTTAGTTGAGTTGGTCAGTTGTATTCCCATAATAGTTATTAACCCCCTGTGCCCTGTCTTGTAAACATCCTATTTGTGTCCATTTATCCCTTGTAAATCTTAATATTCTTATCCATTTCATAAACTCCTCATGAATAATCTCCTTTATGGTACTCTATTTGAATATTTTTTATCAGGTTTGTTGTTAAAGCATAAAGAAATTTGAAGGCTTTTTATAAATCTTTTGCTGATTTGCGAATTTTTTCCCTTTGTCTAATTAAAAACCAAAAAAGCCTTTCACTCAGATTTACAAATGTTTTAAAATTCTTCCGATTTTATGATTTCCTTGTTAATATTATCTTTTATAGTCCACTGTGTTTGTGGATCACATGAATCGAGCATTCAACTGGACTGTTTTCCAGTTTTTGTCAGCAGTTATTTATTGACGCTTTCCTTTTCCTTTTTATTTCTGATTTTGTTCTTTCTAAATTTAACCAAATTTGAGAACTAGGCACAGAGCTAATTTGCTGGTATTGTATAACTAATGAGCAAAGCCTTATTATATATTGAGTTCTTATGTGTACTGTGTTCTGATTGTGTTATCATTTCTGTATTGTGTTTTTGTTGTCATTTTTGTTTTGTTTTTTAGTAATACTGGAGATCAAGCCCAGGGCATTGTGCAAGCACTGAGCTACAGCCTCAAACCCTTCCTATTTTTATGTTATTACCCTCTGTATTAATTATGGTAGTTGATGCATGTTTTCCTCTTAGGAAAGGCTAAGATCCTCTCTCTTTCTTCCTTTTTCTGTTCTTTCTTATGTATTTCTCCAAACAATCTTATATATTTTATTTCCCAAAATATTCTCATTGTAATATTTGTCAGAATTGATTTAATCCATAGATTGTTGGAAATAGTTGCAGCTTTACAATATCCAGTCAAGATGTGTCTTCTGTATTTAGCCTTGGTTATACTCTAGGTACCAACTAAATATTTGATTGAGTCGAAAGAATGGAGAGTGGCATGCAGTAGTGCATGCCTATAATCCCGGCGACTTGGGAGACTGAGGCAGGAGGAGACTGAGTTCCAGCCCTGCTTCAGCAATTTAGAGAGGCCCTTTCTGTAAATAAAAAGGGCTGGGGTTGTGACTTAATGGTAGAGAGCCCTGGGTTCAATCCCTAGTACGGGGGGTGGGGGGTGGGAGTGAAGAGAGAATGATTGAATGAGTGAAGAATCCTTAGTTTACCATTTTAATCAAGTCTGGATGCATACCTCTCAGTAATGTTTTCCAGCTTTTTCTCATTAGGTCCTGCATATTTCATGTGAATGTTGTTTCTTGGCATTGTATATTCTTATTCATTCTCATATTCTCTCTCTCTCTCTCTCTCTTTGTACCTGGGATCAGATCCAGGCATGCTTAATCATTGAGCCACATCCTCAGCCCTTTTTTATATTTTATTTAGAGACAGGGTCTCAGTGAGCTGCTTAAAGCCTCATTGAGTTGCTTAGGGCCTTGTTAAGTTGCTGAGGCTGACTTTGACTCCTTCTGCCTCAGCCATGGGGATTACAGGTGTGCACCACCGAGCTCCTGGCAGCATTGTATGTTTTCTCATAATTTTCTATTTTTTGCCAGCACAAAAGGAAACTGTAAGTATTTCCTTATTTATTTTGTCATTAGTTATGTAAAGAGATTCTGAGGAATCTCTTGGATAATTATTTCACTTGCCAATAATGATCTAGTTTCTTATTATCTTACAGTTTTATCTGTTGCTTCTGTTTTTTTCTGGAATTCACCAAATAATGTTAAAAAAGATTGCCAGTAGTGGAGCTGGGGTTGTAACTGAGTGGTAGAGTGCTTGCCTAGCACATGTGAGGCACTGGGTTTGATTCTTAGTACCACATAAAAAAATAAATAAATAAAGGCATTGTGTTCATCTACAACTAACAATATTTTAAAAAAAAAGACTGCCATTAGTGGTCATCAATAATTTATATTCTCATATTCTCTCTTCTCTCTCTCTCTTTAAGATGGACACAATACCTTTATTTTATTTATTTTTATTTGGTACTGAGGATCAAACCCAATGCCTCATGTGCTTGGCAAGCCCTCTACCACTGAGTTACACCCCAGGGGCTGGGGATATAGCTCAGTTGATAGAGGGCTTGCCTTGCATGCATGAGTCCCTGGGTTCAATCCCCAGCACCTCCAAAAAAAAAATAATAATAATAATAATTAAAAAATAATTGGGCTGGGGATGTGGCTCAAGCGGTAGTGCACTCACCTGGCATTCGTGCAGCCCGGGTTCAATCCTCAGCACCACATACAAACAAAGATGTTGTGTCCGCCGAAAACTGAAAAATAAATATTAAAATTCTCTCTCTCTTTTTAAAAAAATAATAATAATTTACTCTTAGTAACATAGCTGAGATTTGCTGTTGCTTGTCCTCTTTAGGGGCTGGGGGAATCTCATGATGCTCTTGTACTGTGCCATTTGTACCAAAATGGATATTTATGTGTAACAAGGTCCGTATAACTAATAACTAATTTTATTTTAATATAATTAATATAACTAATAACAAATCTTATTTTCTCCATTTAAAAACAAAACCAAAACTTTACTCTTCACCAGCATAACATTGGCTGGTGGTTTGCAAATGCATGTTTGCATTCTTTATCTAGTTTTTAAAATATATTTTATAAGGAATGACTATAAAAGATTTTAGGTTGATTCTGACATTTTTAATGTCATTTAAAGGAATTTGCTGTTGCTTCATAGCCTCGTTATGAAAAATTATTGAACAGCACCTATTGGGTGGTGTGAATGATGCCATTTAATACTGAGAAAGAAACCACTATGTTATGTTAGCCCATTTTATAGATGAGGAAACTGACTTAGAGCAGTAAAGTAATTTGTTAGTTGTATAGCCAGAAGTGGCAGTGGCTTATGAAATAGAACCACATTTCAGGGATAGGTGAGTGGAGATAGATGTATATTTATACATAACAATTCAACTTACTGTGGGATTAGGTTCCAGAAAAACTCTTTGTAAGTTGAAAATATCACAAGTCAAAAATGCATTTAGGGACTGGGTTTATAGCTTTGTTTGTAGAGTGCTTGCCTTGTATGTACAGGGCCCTGGGTTCAATTCCCAGTAAAACACACACACACACACACACAAATGTATTTAGTGCATTTAATCTACCAAACATCATAACTTAGCCTAACTTTCAGTGTGTATAGAATACTTGCACTCACTTAAAGTTGGGCAGAATCATCAAACACAAAACCTATTTTATAATAAAGTTATGAATGTCTCATGTAATTTATTGAATACTGTACTGATTGTGAAAAGCAGAATGATTGGTATGGGTACATTATCACACTATTGTAAAGTTGAAAAATCTAAGTTGAACAATCATAAGTCATATATATTGACATATACATACATATATCTCTATGTCTCATGAGCTTAAGGCATGAGAAAACTAATGCATTTTGAAATGTTTATGGAGTCCAGTAATACAGTACATAGGGGCAAATAATGAGCCCTCTCATTGATGATGAATGTCTGATTTTCTTAGGGAAAAGTTTTATCTAATTTCTTAAAGACTGGATTATACTTCTTCCTAAGGTCACAGAGTCTGAATAGTTGACATATATGGTATTTGTAAATTTACCAAGTTTTTCTTCCACATTTTATACACATATTAGTAGGATTGACATAATCCATAGGTAATCCTGATACTATAGTCCATAATTTTACTTCCTACTACTTTTCTCCATAGGAAGTCTATGACAACATTGAACCCTTGACACCCTCAGAATAAAGGACAGTAACTTCTAAGAAACCCACTTCCTGTGGAATATAGTGCATGCTTTTTTTAAATAAGACATGTTGTGGTAGAGTAGGGATTATCTAAGTAATTAGCCTCTGTCATGCATAGTGAAAGTACTAGATCCGTGTTTGGAAGACAGAAACGACAGCATACCCATTTGAAAAGGTAATATATTTTAACAGTTTGGGGGACTTGTTCAAATAACTTGCCCTTGTCTTCATGGTGAGACTCCCTAATATGATAAGCCAGTTAAGGTAATAGGGCAGAATAATTCAAGAGCCACTGTCCTAGGTAGTATGAGGGACGAGTTGTTCTATTGAAGCTTAACTAATTTTTCCATGAAGTTTCTCCTTGAAAAGGAGAGGAAGAAGAGTGGTGCATGGACACATTAGAATGTTATTACTTTTCTTTATCTATGAATAGAAATGTTCTTAAACCAGGAGAGAATACTATCTGAATTTTAAAACTTTTTAGGAAGGAGCTTAAAAACTTCTTTTTCTACTCTCAGTCCAACTCTAGGAATGCTTGAAATTAGATTCTTCCTTATGTTTCACAAATTAAATACCTCATTTGAAGCTTATTCATTTCAGTTATGCTATCTTGCATTTTAATCTATCCTTCTTTCAGGGCTTCTTTTGCTGATTCTTGGCTATTTCTTGTGTTTGTCACTAATTCATAAGGTAACTTATTTTTGTATTTGTAGAAAATTCTCAATTTTTTCTAAATGGAGTCCCAATGCAGTGTGATTAGAGTGTCAAATCTGTCCCATGCCCAGCCCTAGTCCTCAGTCTATGGCTTTATTGTGTTTATTACTTGGTTATAGCACCAGAGAATTCCACCCCTTTTCCCCTTCTTCTTCTTCCCCGTCCCTCCTGCGGAATGGTCCAAGTTTTGCACTCTTGCAATAGTAGTAGGATTTAATTTTGTGAATATTAAGTTTTTTTGTAAATGGTCTGTTAAATATGTACTTAAACTACTCCTTTATATGTCCTTAAACTAAAACTCTTCATTATATTGTGTTTTTAATACTTAAATGCAAGAACAAAGTTAAGTTTTCCTTATTAAAATGCAAAGCCTAGTGTCTTCTAGCCTTTTGAAGAGCTTTTGTTCATTATATAATCTGTAAAGTAGCCAAGAGTTCCTCAGAAGCAGGACATCATTTAGGTTTAATACAATTATGGCTTGTGTGTAAAATAATGTTGTGGCTTAACTGTTCATACTTTAGTGGCAGAATCCTTAGTTCAATTCACCTTAAAGACTTTACCAAGGTTCCTGAGAACAAAAATGATTAGGCATTTTGATTCTACCAAAGTTTACATGTCTAGAAAGCTAAATGACACAGTTATAAGCATAGACCTTTTATTTTTTTCCCAGATGTTTGACAGTGTAAACATACATAAAATACATATTAAAGTTTAGATGCTTTATATTTTGTGCAATAAATCGAAGCCTTAAAAAGAAAACATCTCATTAAAAAAAATTAGTTTTACTTAAGACAGAAAAGTAGCAGCAAGTACCAAGACATTGTGCACTTCTTTTATTTAAGACAAGTTACTCATTTACATCAGAGTCAGAAATGTAAGACTGGCTTTCTTGAATACTTAACATAGCTTGAATCACTGGTTAGGTAGGGGCATATTTTCCCAACTGTACATCAGGGAGGAGGCTTTCATTAGTTTTAAGAAAATGCTGACCCTCAGCCAGCCAGCATGACCATAGCATTGAGCATTAAGAGAAATGAAACATTTACTTCCCAAGCACATGCCACAGAAGGTAAGTGAGTCTTTACATTTGCAGTTGTTTCTTCCCTCTGTAAGTTAAGGGTTGTGCTTTGTTGAGGCATTTCTGAGAAGTTTTTTGGCATGCCACTAGTGATACTTAGGGTCATAGGTGTTGGGGATGATTTTGCTGAGCTAGTGAGGCTTGTGTTTGTAACCATTCCATCTTGGAGATGAATAGTTAGAGTTGCAGCTGCTGCTTCATGGGAATTGATGGTTTCTGTAGATGTATCTTCTGGATAGGGCTCCAAAGCCTTATCAGTGCTAGTAAAGGTGGTGTCTTTGCTTAATGTGACACCAAACGTTGTTTCCTTTGTTCGATATTTGGGTATTTTGGTCACTTTGGGTTGAGTTACCATACTCAGAGAATTAATGGTGTCCACTGTTTGCATCCCACTTACAGTGAATAAACTTGAGGTAAATCCAGAAGGTGTGGGATATATGTTATGTTCCTTCAAGGATGATATCTGGTTAGAACAAGGAGTTCCTATCACATGAGCTTTTGTTTCCATCATCCACTTAAGTAAGTAAGTAATGTTTTGTTTATGGTCACATGACCACCTGTTATTGTGAAGGGTTATTTCTTGCAACTGCAAGAGTTGGTCAAAAGATTGATCTGGAATGAATGTGAACTTATTGTTGTGCAGGTAAAGATGTGTGAGGTTTGTCAGGTTTATTAATGTTCCTGGAAGGATTTGTGTCAAGGAATTATTAGACAGGTCCACAATATGTAGTTTAGAGGGCATGTTGGTTGGAACTGTCCAAAGTTTGTTACTGCTGAGGTTGAGGACCTCAAGACTTCTTAATGTATTTTTAATGAGGACAACCTTTTCCAGCATGTTCTTAGAAACATCCAGATATTTAAGGTTCCACTGATAAGCAGTATCAGATTTGTCAAGAAGTTTAATATTGTTGTTAGCAGCAGACATGTTCCAGAGAGACCGAGGTAACTGAGCAGGCAGGCTTTCAAGCCTGTTGTTTGAAATGTCCAGTGTCCTCAGATTGGTATATTGGGTTAACTGGTTATGCAGATCAGTAAAGTGGTTATAAGACAGGTTTAAATGTATAATGTTCTCTTGGAGTCCGGATGGTAATGTAGTCAAGTTTCTGCCTGAACAGTCCACATGCCTGTGTCTCTCTGTACATATACATTGGAGAGGACAAATGCATAAAATACCAGGTGTGAGAAACAGGAGGATGAACAGGCAGGGAGACATTTTCAATATCTGATATTCCATCAAAGCCTGGAAACAAACAGATACACCCTTCTTTTAATATGCAAATACAATTTAGGCATCTGCATGGGTCAGTTAGCATTAGGCAAAATTTTCAATAAACCTCCTTGTTGTTGAGTCTTTTTATAATTGTTCCAGTGATTAAACTAACAAAGCTGCCCTTCATTTATAGTCCAAATGCCTAATCCTTCAATTGGGGCTATGTTGGTTGAGAGAGAGACTCCCCCCCCCCACACCACCACAAACACACTCTTTCCTGCATTTTCTTCTTTATTTTCTCTCTCCTTTTACCATTCTTTTTTTCATATTCATCTTCTCAAAGTCTTAATATGATAAATAGCATTATCTGCAAATAGAGTTGAAGTCTTAAGCTATTACTGTGTTTGATAATATGCTTTCTTATTCAGATGGGAAAAAATGGCTGTCGTGTGGGTTTTTGGGGTTGTTTTGTTTTTTAATCTCTGCAGTAATGTAAGAATCAATGTGTGTGTGTGTACGATGAGATTTTATTTAGATATTAAACAATTTTTGAAATTTCATTTTTTTAAGGATAAACATATCCTTGTAAAAACATTTCAAGGCACTTGAAAAATCCAGACCAACACCATACCTCACATTTTGTAAAGTGTGTGTGTGTTTTTTTTTTCCTGTATATTTCAGTACCAATTCTACAGGGAAAAACATGTATATTTACAAAGTGAATGCATATTAAAAAGACAACCCTCAACTGATACTGCAGCAAATCCCTGTGCATGCACTTGCTATTGAATATATATTCAATCCTAATGTTGACTTTTTCTTAAAAAAAGAAAAAGGAAAAAAATTCTTAAGTCCATCTCTTACTGATTTAAATAACAGCTTACCATAGTGTCGTCTTCAACATCAGCATCTCGTTTTCTCCGGGACACTTGAAGCTTAAAGGTCGTCTTGTTCTGGAGAGTCGGAACCGTTTCTGGCTGTGGGCTGTGCTTGCCTGCTCAGCTGCATTGTGTTGCTGTGAGCTGAAGCTCTCTCTGCAACCACCTGATCAGTACCACATAGGAGGACTGCAGAGCTGTCATTGGTGCTGACTCAAATTTATTTCAAGAGGTGCACACGCAACAAAATGGACAAAAATTTTTTTAAAAATTTATAGCATTGAGCATACTTACGTATCTCAGATTTGCTATAGATTGGAATACTTCATGTAAATTAGAGCTGGCCTTTCCTCCTTTCTGTGTATTCATCTGTGGAGCTTGGGCTCCACATTTTAGCAGCTTCCTTATTAACAGTCAACTGTGCTTCTTTTTAATGCCTCTACTTTCTTTTTACATATTGAAAAATGTGGAAAATAGATTTGACCTTCCTTGTAAATGGATTTCTAAGATACTGATTTAACTCTTTTTTATTTCTCCATTTTTGTGTTCTTTTCTAAAATGATAAAACTGTCATGTTACCTTTTAAGATATCATGATATAGTGTGGTGATTATTATATTTAATCAGCTTTTCATATTTATCAACCACTTAAATGTTTCGACTTCTCTTTTAAGGAGGTACAGAAGTAATTAATTAGGATTATTTGTCTTTATTTTTCTGATACAAAGGATCATTTGACCCAAGATACACACAAGGCATTTTATTTTTGCTTTTTATTTTGCAAAGCTGGGAATCAAACCCAGAGTAGGCTGCACTTAAAATGAACACCTTCTGCTTTTAATTTTCATTTCCCATGATAAAAATAAATGTTTTCTATTTTGTGTATTTGGGGTTAAATATTTTTCTTCATGAAATTTACTGTGGATAGTAAGTAAATATAAGTGTTGTTTTCTCCAGAGATATTTTTGGTGCTATGTGAATGACCATTCATTTAGTTTTATGTTTTAGAAATAATAGTGTTGCCATAGTGATACACGCCTGTAATTCCAGTAGCCCAGGAGGCTGAGGCAGGAGGATTGCAAGTTCAAAACCAGCTTCAGCAACTTAGCAAGACCCTGTCTAAAAAATAAAAATATTAAAAGGACTGGGGATATGGATCAGTGGTTAAGTGCTTCTGGGTTCAATCTCTGATATAAAATAAATAATAATAATAATAGTATAAATTTCAGAAGATTTATTAAGACTTTATATTTTATCTTCCTGAGACAGTTTTAAATTTAAAATTACATGATGTATGTGAAAAAGAAAACACATGAATGTTTTAAAATGAGATTAGATTTAAGAAAGCTTTTACTCCATCCCTTAGTGGATTGATTGTATAATAATCTAAATTTGAAATCTAATCAAATCTAATTTCCAGAATGTCCAGTTTATCTTAGAAAAGAAAGCAAATTATGGTATATTCATTGCCAAATTCTCATCATTTGAAAACCAACAAATATTAAAAATTAATTAATTAAATTAATTAATTAAAAATTATTTTGAGATAGGGTCTGGCTAGTTGCTTAGATTGGCCTTGAACTTATGATCCTCCTGCCTCAGCCTCCCAAGTCACTGAGATTATAGGCATATGCTGTTATGCCCACTTTGTAGCTTATTTTCTTAGAAAAGAGACTATACTCTAGAAGTATAAAAATTAATATAAAATTAAGGTTTCTAAAATGTATCTGCATTTTAATCTGCAACATCAGAAATTTATTATTGATTAGGTGCTTTATTTTCCACTTTATTTTGAGGGTTCATTTGGACCCTAGATCTTTCTATGGATTTCGGAAACCAGTCATCAGTCATAGTATTTAAAAATGAACAGGTTTGACCAGGCATGGTGGCACAACCCTGTAATCCCAGCTGCTAAGGCGGCTGAGGCAGGAGGATCGAAAGTTCAAATCCAGCCTCAACAACAGTGAGCTGCTAAGCAACTCAGTGAGACCCTGTCTCTAAATAAAATATACAATAGGGCTGGGGATGTGGCACAGTGGTTGAGTGCCCCCTGAGTTCAATCCAGGCACGGTGGCACATGTCTGTAATCCCAGTGATTGAAGATACTGAGGTAAAAAGGATCATAAATTCCAAGCCAGTCTGATCAGCTAAACAAGACCCTGTGTCAAAATTGTTTCTAAAAAAGGACTTAGGGCTATACTCACTGGGTTCAATCTCCAGTACTGGGAGAAAATGTGTTAAAAATACTACATACAGCAATATTGTTTTGGAAATAGAGAATGGGTTGCTTTTTGACATTTAAAATTCTCTCAGTTTGTAGATACACTATAACATTGCAAGGTATGTTACTAAGGGTCAATTCATTAAACACTTAAATTTATCCATTTTAATTTTACATCACTGTGGAAGTAGAGTTAACCACTCCCATTCGCTAGTACTTCCATTTGAAAGAAGGAAATGTTGTGTCATTAACTAATAGATTCAAATGAATTTACGTTTAGTCTGTATCAGGATTAGGTTTCACTGCATATAATATAAACTTTTAATGCAGTCATTGTGACAGTGTGTTATTTCAACTTTGGGGACATGCTTTATTGTTTCATTTTATTCAGAGATTTCTATGAAATTCTCAAAGGGGGATTATTTCAGTGTGTTATGTTCCTACACTTTTAGAAATTCTCATGATATAAAATAATTCTATATTACTATTATTGAAAGTGGAATAGTTCTTTATAGTATTTATTGTTTTTTAACAGCTTATTTTAGATTACTATTTAAACACATAAGTTACATTTTTAGAGTCAGCTGAGGTAAAAAATTACATCTATTTGGACAACTATTCTATATTAAGCAGTAAATTAATTTACATGTTCTTTGTTCTTCTGTGTACTAGGATATATTACCCCAACTTTGCAAAAGATATGAAAGACCACCAGCTGGGAAATGGCTAGCTCATGTTAATCAGTAGTTTCAATATTCCTTTATTTCTTAAATTGATCTGAAATAATTAAAAATCAGAGGTCTATCTGTTTTTGATTGATTGAATATCCCTTATCTGAAACGCATGGGACTAGAAGTGTTTCAGATTTCAGAGTTTCTTTGTGTGTGGGTTTTATTTTTTTAATATGTGCATACACTTTACCAGTTAAGTATCCCTAATCTTAAAAGCTGAAATCTGAAATCCAAAACTTTTAGTGAGAACATAGCATTGGATTTTTGGATTAGGGATGCTTGACCAATAATATAGTTAGGTATATTGACTAAACTTCTTTCTGAAAACAAGAATACTCAATGAAGTATTTTAAAAGCCTGGAAGAGCTGGGCATGGTGGTGCACACCTGTAATCCCAGCAGTTTAGGAGGCTAAGGCAGGAGGATCATAAGTTTGAGGCCAGCTTCAGCAATTTGTCAAGCCCTAAGCAACTTAGTGAGACCCTGTCTCAAAATAAAATATAAAAAAGGGCTGGGGAAGGCTGGGGTTTTGGCTCAGTGGTAGAGCGCTCGCCTAGCACATGCAAGGCCCTGGGTTCAATCCTCAGCACCACATAAAAATAAATAAAATAAAGGTATTGTATCCAATAACGACTAAAAAATATTTGTAAAAAAAGGGGTGGGAGGCATGCTGGGGATGTGACTCAGTGGTTAAGTGCTTCTGGGTTCAATCCCTGGTACCAAAAACAAAAAAATATGGAAGGACTGACAAAATAGAAATTATCACATCAAAATCCAAGTGCATCAGTGTCTTCACCCATTTTCCCACTCCTTTTTTCCCTTCAGTTCTCTAGATGTCCTTGATTCTGGATTAATCTCTTTGCTTCTTTAGAAGGATTTAATTTGTTCTTCTGCCTTCTGTATTTCCTATAAATGATTCCTAACAGTATTAACATAATTGCTTGATTATCATCATCCCACAGTAGTTTCAAAATAATACCAGTACTGCTATAACTGGATTACAAACTATTGAATAAAGTTAAAGATTTCTTTGTAGCTGCATTCTTGGAATATATTTCAGTAATGGCATATAGGAATTGTGGGTTGTTTTGGGTTTTGGTATTTGTCACTAAACCATGTCTTCAGTCATTTTCTTTTTTTTTTTAAACAGGATCTAACTAATGTTGGTGAGGCTGGCCTCAAATTTGAAGTCCTCTAGTCTCAGCCTCATGAGTTGCTGGGATTTACAGGCATATACCACCATGCCCAGCTTCAATTCTTGTGTTCTAATGCAACTTGAAATAATTATTTTCTTTCTTTTTTAATGTTTATTTTTTAATTGTAGGTGGACACAATATTGTTATTTTATTTTTATGTGGTGCTGAGGATCAAACCCAATGCCTCATGCATGCTAAGCGAGCACTCTACCACTGAGCCACAAACCCAGCCCTAATTATTTTCTTTATATTTCTATATCACCAACTTGATATATAGTTAGTGTTTTAGTTAGCTTTTTCGCTGCTGTGACCAAAAGACCTGACGAGAACAATTAGAGGAGGAAAAATTTATTTTGGGCTCATGGTTTCAGAGGTCCATAGAGGGCTGGCTCCATTCCTCAGGGCCTGAGGTGAGGCAGAACATCAGGTCAGAAGTGTGTGACAGAGGGAACGACTCAAAACAATACAGCAGGAGCCAGAGAGAGACTCCACATTCCAGATACAAAATATATGCCTCAAAGGCACACCTCTGGGAACCTCCCTTCTCCAACCACATCCTGCCTACCTTCAGCTATCACTGGATAGTTAATCCTTAGCAGGGGATTAATTCTCTGATTGGGTTAAAGTTCTCATAACCCAGCCATTTCACTTCTAAGTTTTCTTGCATTGCCTTTGGGGGACACCTCACATTCAAATCATAATCGGTTCATTTATTTTTCAGTTTGGGTTTTTAGGGATCACTCAAGTCAAAATTATGCAACAAGAAATATTGACAGAAATCTTCTCTGACTGCTTCATCCTATTTCTTTCCTTTCCCTATTGGTGACTATTTTTATTAGCTTTTAGTTGTCTTTTAACAGTATTTCTTTTTACAAACGTACAGAAACACATGTGTATGTGTATTTTATGTTCTTATCCCCCCCTTATATGAAAGGTTGCATACCATATACACTGTTATGTAACTTAGTTTCTTCTTTTTAAAAAATTTTTTTTTAGTTGTGATGGACCTTTATTTTA